TATATAAAGACAGACAAACAGGAAGAAGCTCTCTCTCGGGGAAGTTAGGAGCACTGCAGGAGGTAAGATTTTATCTCTGAGCTCTGACCTCTCGGCTTTCTCTTTTACATTGGCTCTGTGTTTCTTATTTTAATAAGACGATTGGTTACATCTACAGAAGAAGATATCAGAAAATGGAAGGATCTCCCATGCTCATGGATAGGTAGGATTAACATAGTAAAAATGGCAATCTTACCAAAAGCAAACCACAGATTCAACGCAATCCCCATCAAAATCCCAACACAATTCTTCACAGACTTGGAAAGAAAAATACTCAACTTCATATGAAAAAAAAAAAAAGACTCAGGATAGCTAAAAGAATCCTGTTGCCGGGTGGTGGTGGCGCACGCCTTTAATCCCAGCACTCGGGAGGCAGAGGCAGGCGGATCTCTGTGAGTTCGAGGCCAGCCTGGGCTACCAGGTAAGTTCCAGGAAAGGCGCAAAGCTACACAAGAGAAACCCTGTCTCGAAAAACCAAAAAAAAAAAAAAAAAAAACAAACAAACAAACAAACAAACAAAAAAACAAAAATAAAACTATCTCCAGGACTGTTTTGTTTGCATTTGTAGATGTTACACATTTAAGACACAGTACACATGTTCTCTGTGTTTAAGCTACAGTTTCCTAAGTTTCCATTCAAATATAAACTTGTTTTATTAGTAAAAATAGTAGGGGTTTACAAAAATGTGCTTAGAGAACAAAGGTTTAATGTTTTATCAGATAATTGTTCATGGTTTCCACTGAGCTCATCAGACTTCTAGTTAGGAAACTGAGTCCTAACAGAGTTAAAGTTTATGTAGAAACATGTCTTTGTCAAACTTTATCTAAGTGAATCAACAGCTAAGTTTGAAAGCACTGTTTGTTCTTAAATACTGGTGTAAGTGACCTTCTGAGTGTTCAATCACCATACTGGACGGCCAAAGCCAATAATACCACAGGGCTAAGACAACAGCCGATACTTTGGCCCGTGTCCCCAGGTCAGCTACATTCCAGAAAAGTACAGGCTGCTTCTCAAAGGGTCCTGAAGCTTGGGCAAGTCACACATCCTCATTCTCTCGACCAGAGAGAGCAATGGAGATCCAGGGTTTGCACTCTCAAGAATGTGCATTCTGAAAGTAAGGGGTAACCCGGAGTGAACTGTCGCCAACCCTTCTGAGGGAGGCCACCTGGTCAGCAAGACCCTGAATCCACCCCACAGCATGACTGGTAGAGGACAGATTAAAGGAGCCAGACTTTAATCTGGGCTCCTCCCCAGACGCTAAAAGTGAGCTTCAGTTGACTTTGAGATTAAAATTAAAGTGGATAAATATTTGGTACATGGTCTTAAACACTCAATTAAAAAATAGGACAGGCAAAGAGTAAAATGATTTGTAACAACACAAAAGAGAAGGAGCTAGGGTGAGGTGTGGCGGCGCATGCCTTTGGTCCCAGCAGTCTGATCTCTCTAAGTTCCAGGCCAGCCTGGGCTACACAGAGAGCACAGTGAGACCCAGTGTCAAAAACTAAAAAGGAATGGGGGGGGGGTTAGACTGCAGAAAGGGACAGGTGTTACACGCTTGCCCACCAAACCCTGAGTGTGAGCTACAAACACAAGTACGACAATGGCAGCCCCCCAGCTATAAGCAGAGTAAAGGACCCTCATGCTCTTCCAAGCTTAAAAAACCTCCATCAGCCGGATGGTGGTGGCACATGCCTTTAATTCCAGCATTTGGGAGGCAGAGACCAGTCTGGCCTACATAAATAGACCCAGAACAGCCAGGGCCGCACAGAGAAACCCTGTCTAAAAAAAAAAAAAAAAAAAAAAAAGACCAAACCTCCATCATCTTCCTCCTAAGGCTCAGAGCTGAGTGAGGGCATGTGTGACATTCCTGTCCCTTCTCTGCCACTTCTAGCCCCCAACGCCGGCAGCTTCCTGTCCAGGCTTTCGTTCCTCAGTACCCCATGATGGCTACCAAGGGCAAGCAGACACAGGTGGCCCCGAAGTATGGAGGAGAGCTGGGCCCAAGCTTGGGGACCTTATCTCGGGGATTCCAGTCCTGCCTTATCACTGAACAAAAGCCAACTTGGAACCAGTTCTGACACCTGGGTCCAATTCCCTTATAAGGAATGGGGCCTCCCCCCAGCCACCAGGGTATCTTTGAACTTGGCTTTGTACAGAAGGCACCCTTTTCTGTAAAGGGCAAATTAGAAAAGGGCTTGGGAGAGGGGGTGGGGAGGGGGTGGTTCAGTGCTTAGAACCCTGTGCTCACCTCGATTGTACAGGGCTCCGGGTTGATTTGCAGCACGACAAAAATAAAATCAAATTTTCTGAGCTTTTGGCTCAGAAAATTTGAGTCAGGGACAGAGCTTAGTAGTACCTAGAATCCCCCAGTGAGGGGCTGGGGTGTGACTCAGTGGTAGAGCACCTGCCTAGAATCCCCCAGTGAGGGGATGGGGTATGGCTCAGTGGTAGAGCACCTGCCTAGAATCCCCCAGTGAGGGGCTGGGGTGTGGATCAGTGGTAGAGCACATCCTAGAATCCCCCAGTGAGGGGCTGGGGTGTGGCTCGGTGGTAGAGCACCTGCCTAGAATCCCCCAGGATGTGGTTCAGGTAGGGCACCTGCCTAGCACACATGAAGTGCTCGGTCCCATCCAGCACTGGCGGGACACACCTATGATCTTAGCACTCAAGAAGAGGAGGTAGACAGATGAGAAGTTCAAGGTAATTCTCAGCTGCGTCAAGAGTTTAAGATCATCCTGGCTACCCAAGATCCTGTCAGAAAGAGGCAATGGCGGTTGCCGGGGAGAAGGGAGTGGGAAACCGGGTTCTGCAGGAAATGGGGTGGACGGATCTAGGGCCCCAGGCAGAGGGAAGGGACTCACAATAATCCGGGTCCTGTTGTTCACCAGTTTGCCAATGTGTTCCTCCACTTTCCTCTGCTCCTCCTTCAGCTCAGATATGCGGCCTGCGAGTTCTTCCTGCAGGTGACATGCCGTGGTCCTGTGAGGAGCCGGCCGATCGCTCTTCCCTCTCCTCAGGAAGCACAGAACCTTTCCCTTGGGGGGTTCCCAGTGACCGTGACGTGGAGCCAGGGTAGGAACCAGGGTAGGAACCAGGGCTTCCCAGGTCCCCTCCACACACAGGTGAAGAGTGTTTAAGGAAGATGGAGGTAATGGTGCACACCTGTCTCCCCAGGCCTCGGGAGGCTGAGGCAGGAGTTCAAGGCCAGCCTACATTACATGTAACCAGACTATGTCAGGGAGGGAAAGAGAAAGGGAACAGGGTGGAGGCGGGGTGGGGTGGGGGGAACAGAAGGGGAGGGAGGCCGAGCAGAGGGAAGAAAGCAAAGGGGGAAAGCGGAAGGGCAAAGAAAGAAGACAAGGGGCTGGTGAAACTGCTCAGGGGTTTGACTCGCAGCCCCCACGGGGCAGCTCACAACCATCTCTAACTCCAGCCCCAGGGGATCCGGCACCCTTTTCTGACCTCCTTGGGTACCAGGCATGCACACGACACACACACATCTGTGCAGGCAAAATACCCCTGCACATGAAATAATAAAACAAATCTAAGCATTATTTAAAAAAAGAAAGAAGCAAGCAAGCCCAGGTATCCAGGGCAGCCGATGCCCTGTCCTTGTCCTGGAGGAGCAGGCCCCTGAGCATCCCCAGCAGTCTCAGGAGGGAACACGACAGTCACCTCCTGAGGCAGAGAGAGCCGAGACCAGGCCAGTGAACTGGGCGGCAGGAAGAGGAAGATAAGACGTCAAGCCACACACTTGCATCCCCAGCTCTCAGGAGACTGAGGCAGGAAGATAGTTCCAGGCCAGCCTGTGCTCCATGGTGAGTTCCAGGCCAGTGGGATAATGTATTGAGAACTCAAAAAAAAAAAAAAAAATCAATCAAAATGTCTTTTT